ACCCGTAACCGGGGAGACAAAAATTGTTTGATTTTTGTACATGGGGGGAAAGATTTAAAAATCTTTCCCCCTTTTAAAAGTTTTACACAAGGGAGCTTTGTAAGAGATATTTGGGGGGAAATTGGGTTTTGGTTTATTGGGCTTAGGGTTTGGGAAAGATTTAGGCTGTTGGTCCAAAAAATTGAGGGAGCCCCGTTACATACTCAAAGTTATTCATTTTAAGTAATGGATTACCTGGTTTCTCGAAAAGCAATCTGGGGTATTTGTAATAATACCATCCCCACCCCCGGCCCACGGGAGTTGCCCCTTTTTTTAGGCGCATCAAGTTTATAAATTTGTGAAAGGAATGTTGCAATCATCTGCCTTTGGGTGAGCATAAACAAACAAATTTTTTCCCTTGCATCATATTTTTCATTTTAAATTTTGCCTGTGTGGTACTGGGAAGATTGTCATAGCTAGATGTAGCAGCCCAAGCACTGACTAACTCATTCGCCCTATGCAAGGGATGAGGGTGCGCGATCTGCCCAGTTCTGTTACCCTTAATTCTATTTATGTCCCTCCATGCCCGGCTAAGTGGGGTGTGAGCATTAAGACCGTTGACAAATTTTTCCCAGTCTGTTTGCCGCAGCTCTGTCATACGCTCTCTGGCAGCAGCAAGGGCAGTTTGGAAGAGTCTCAGCATTCCAGGGGTACGATGTTTTCTATAGGCTAGGCCTAGTCTGCGAGCAGTACGTTTCAGTGTACGAAGTTTAGAATCATTGTAATAAGTATGGTTTTTGAAGGAGGTATGATTATTATGGAAGTTTGTTGGGTTTAGAGTACCAAGAGGTTGCAGTGGCGGCTCTAAGAAGTTCTGAATGCTGCTCACAAGGTCATTGTTAAAGGTCTCTACAGAGGAACACTCATAGGAATTATACCAGTCAGTCACATGTGCAACAAAGTCATCATGCTGATCAGTGGGAACATTAAAACGTTTCCGTTTGAATATCCCACCAGGAAGGATAGTATTACCAATATCTAGTGAGGTTAGCCTAGGGAAATGATCAGACGCTATTCTTATACCATAGTGGTCAAGTTTGTGGAGTAGGATGCCGTGGTCTACTGTGTCAAACGCTTTTCTTAGGTCAATAAAAATTCCTAGCGTATATTCCTTATTTTCCAATGCTGTGTAAAGCAGGTCTAGCATTTTTATAATTGCATCATTAGTGCTTTTATTTTTCCTGAATCCAAACTGGCAGGGGTTGAGTATGTTTTGTGACGTTATAAATGAATATAGTCTCCTGTGCACGAGTTTCTCGAAGATTTTGGATAGCAATGGTAAGTTTGATATTGGCCTATAGTTGTTTAAGTCTGTAGGGTCACCACCTTTATGTATTGGTGTAACCCTTGCTGTCTTGAGTAGTTCTGGGAAGGTGCTAGTTTCTAGTGACTTGTTAAAAAGTAATGTATTAGCATGCGAAAGGACATGGGCCGCTCGCTTGTTGGAAAGGCTATAAAATATATCTTGACTTTGTTCCACAGTGCAAGGTAGTGGTCAGTTTTTTTTGTAACTAAAAATTTTGATATGATTTTTTGAACTTTGGCCTCATCTCAGTGTCATTTTGGAGTGAAATCAGTTCTTCCTCCACCATTCCTGTTTCCTCATTGCTAATATCTAGAGATGGATTGATCACCCAGATCCGAAAATCTGTCAGACATGTCTTTATGCAGCTCATTCAGGTGTGCACAATATACTTGAAGGCTATGTTACGTTTAAATAATTGTAATCTGGAAAGAAAAGTGGAAAGGGCTGATTTGACTTTGGTAAGATTAACCTCATTTCCTTGCAATTGCAAATTAACTTCGTTGAACTTTGTGAATACATCTGACAAATAAGCAATGTCATGCTTGATGTTTCTTAGTTCATGACATAGAACAAAATTGGAGTTTTGGAAGAATTCAACAACTGTTTTAAAAAGTGAATAGAAACGTCTCAGGAAGTTTCCCTTTGACAGCCATCTAGCTTTGTGTGCAACAACAAACGTCAAAAATATTCATTATTGTCATTTCAGAGCTGTTGAAACAGTCGGGAATTGAAAGTATGTGCCTTAATTTTATTTTAATTCCAGGAACAGCTTTTGAAAATTGACCACTGTCTGGAAAATCTCCCAACTCGTGCCCCAAACATCTTGCTGCTGGCGATTTCAGTTTAAGACACCTAAAATGGAGGAATGTAGCAAATAATGTTTTAGCAAAGATAGCTCAGATGAAAATTCACACATGAGCTATTAAATTTCTGGAACAAATAGTGGACCCAACAAGAATGGAAAATACACTGGACCTCATCTTCACTAATAATAATGATCTGATACGAAATATAACAATATCAAAGACAATACGCTCAGATCACAACATAAAAGAGGTACAGACATACATGCGCAGGGCTCCTGATCAGCATAAGGTGATCATTAATGAGGGGTGCCTTCACCGAATTCAACTTCAATAACAAAAACATACAGTGGGATCCAATCAACCATGTCCTAAATGAAACAAGCTGGGACGATATCCTAAACAACACGGATCCGGACCTTTCCCTAGAAAGAATTAACTCTGGGTACTTGAGGTATGCTCAAGGTATATTCCTTTAAGAAAAAAGAAGGGAATATGTAAACTAGAAAGAGAGAGATGTTCCCTATACAGGGGAAGGCGAAGAAACAGAGCGGCTGAAAGGCGCCAGTATATCTGAAATACGAAAGGGGCACTGGTCAGAGAAATATCAAACTTAAGATTAAGGAATCATACAGGAGACATGAAACTCAGATAGAACTTAAAGCCATAAATGAAATTGAAAAAAAAAAATACTTCCCTTCTTATACAAAATTCAGGGCAAAATCAACATTCAGTATTAAACCCCTGCTCAGACGAGATAAAACTTGCACAGATGACAGCGAAGAAATGAGTGAGATACTGAAGTCCCAATATGACTCAGCGTTTAGTGAACCGTTAACCAGATTAAGAGTCGATATTCTAAACGATTTTTTTATGCCCGAGACTCAAAATCTGGTTAACTGAAAAATCTCTGATATTATCATAACACTACAAGACTTTGAAAAAGTAATAAATGACATGCCCCATGCACTCTGCCCCAGGCCCAGACTCGTGGAACTCTGTGTTTATCAAGAACTGCAAGAAACACCTTTCCTGTGCCTTTAGCATTCTGTGGAGAGGGAGCATGGACACAGGGGTCATCCCACAGTCACTAAAAACACCAAACGTAGCCCCATTTCACAAAGGTGGAAATAAAGCAGTTGCAAAAAAATCCAGACTGATAACGCTAATGTCCCACATTATAAACATCTTGAAAAAGTGCTAACAAACTAGACTGCCATCTACTTAGATACCCATCAGTTACACAACCCAGGGCAACATGGGTTTAAAGCAGGTCGCTCATGCCTGTCCCAACTAGAGGACCACTATGACATGGTCTTGGATGCTATGGAGGACAAACAATGCGGATGTGGTATACAGAGACTTCGCGAAAGCTTTCGGCAAGTGCGATCATGGTGTACTAGCACACATAATGCGTGATAAAAGAATAACAGGAAAAGTTGGTAGTTGGATCAGTAACTTCCTAACAAATAGAACACATAGTAGTAATAGTAAAACAGAGTAAAGTCAGAGGTGGCTATAGTGAAAAGCTCTGTTCCACAAGTCACAGTTCTCGCTCCATCCTGTTCCTCATCCTTATATCTGACAGCACCGTGTTTTCCTTTGCCGATGATACCCGAATTTGCATGACATTCATCCATCGAAGATACGGCAAGTCTCCAATCAGACATCAACCAAATCTTTATTAAAATGGGCCGCAGAAGACAATGTGAAGTTCAATGAAGAGAGAAATTTCAATTACTCCGATACGGAAAACTCGAGGAAATTAAAACTGAATCGGAGTATAAAAATTCCAACTACACAATAGAGCGTAAAACTAATGTGAAGGACCTAGGAGTGATAATGTCAGAGGATCTCACTTTCAAAGATCACAATAATGCATCTACCACAGCTTCTAGGAAAATGATAGGATGGATATGAGAACTTTCAAAATTAGGGATGCCAAGCCCATGATGATTCTCTTCAAATTGCTTGTTCTCTTTAGATTGGAATATTGCTATACACTAACGGCCCCTTTCAAGGCAGGCGAAATTGCAGACCTGGAGAAAGTACAGAGAACTTTTAAGGCACGTATATTACTGGGAACGGTTGCAGTCCCTTGATTTGTACTCCCTGGAATGCAGGCGAGAAAGGTACATGAGAATATACACTTGGAAAATCCTAGAGGGACTAGTCCTGAATCTGCTCACGAAAATCACTCCCTACGAAAGCAAAAGACTCGGCAGGAGATGCAACATATCCTCAATGAAAAGTAGGGGCGCCACGAGTACGCTAAGAGAAAACTCAATAAGTGTCAGGGGCCCAAGACAGTTCAACTGCCTCCCAGCATACATAAGGGGGATTACCAATAGACCCCTGGCTGTCTTCAAGGAGGCGCTGGACAGGCACCTAAAATTAGTACCTGACCAGCCGGGCTGTTTCGTACGTCGGCTTGCGTGTGGCCAGCAGTAACAGCCTGGTTGGGCCTGCTGTAGGGTGTGTCTTCTAGGGACTAAATTCATTTAACTTTATTGTTAATTAATTTAATAGCTTTATTGTGCGTCCCATACTCGTCCTACTTTCTAAATAAATATGACAAACATTTTTCTCATAAAAATAAAAAAGATGACATATTGTTATATACGCTGTGCTTCATCAGATGAGTATGTGTGTATCTTCTATGCATATTGTTTTTATATATTTATTTTTCAACATTAAAAACACAGTGTCACTTGGCATTTGTTTTGCTCGTGAACGACGACAGTCTTAAAGTAATAAGATATTCATTAAGACTTCAGAAATTTATTTAAGGAAGAATCTCGTGTTGTATTTTATGTGTTATAATAAAATATATAATTTTAACGTTGCATAAATCGCGAGTTAAGTATGTCATTGACAAATACACTTTGTTAATGGTGAATATTATTGGAATGGTCAATGTTTTGGTTGTGATCATATGGCGGAGGAAAATAAAACAGCAACATCTTGCCATGATAGTTTTTTGCTAGTACTCATGTTGTTAATACATATAAAACGGTAAGTTGTAATGATACGTGTTCAGAAAATATTACGTTGTTACTGCATGTTGCTTGCTGATTGTGAACGTGTGTAATGTATGTGTAGAGTGATGAGAGTAGTACTGGGTGTTGTAGTTCCCCTCCCACTACAACATTAATATTATGGAATCATGACAGTAATTAACAGTAACTTGTCTACCATTAACTGTTTAAAAACCATATAATGTTGTCTAATAACGCTGGTAATTGTACTGATATTCAGTATAGTTGTCTTAAACTTATTTAATCTTAAAGATCTGATATCAATTTAATCGTAAAGGATCCCAATGGAAATAAGTCACTTTGACTCTTTTTTGGGTTATCCTAAGTGATCAATACATGCTGCTATGTATGGTAATTAATGTTCTGTGTTTATATGTACCCGTACCTGAATAAACTTATTAAACTCGTATACGTATTATAGTAGGTGAAGGGCTCTTCATCCAAGGAATTAGAGTTGCCCTCCCGGTCCTTGAATATAATCTGATTGCCTTCCCTTTACCCTTGTTCCCCATGACCACTATGGGTTTACCTCTCCCATGAATATAATATTTCAACCTCTTCTACAATTCTCTGTAGATTGTTGCTCACCATCCTTCAAGAAAGATGCCTTCATATCAATGAGCTCTGGATCCGGGAAATTGGAAATGACCATGCATTCCTGAGTATCACACACTGTTAAAAAGGCCATTACCATGGCAGTGGGTTATTGACCAATTTATGGGTTGGTACTATGTTCCCTCTTTAAGGGGGGCTCCTTATAACGGTAAAGAGGCTATTGGTCTGAGGAATTGGACCTCTTGATCTTCTTCCTCTGACCTAACCTAATTACCCCCCAATCCTCCCTTCCCTACTCCACCCTCCTCATACTCCCCTTTCTTCCCCTCTCCCCATCCTCCTCTTGTTTCTCGTTCTGTTTGTAGCCTCTGGGGTCCTCCAAGCTGGATTATGGTGACCAAATCTATTCTGCAGCCTCTCCCACAACTCTGTATAAGTTAGATTCCATTCATCACCAAGGTCTCCATCTGTTCCTTGGGGCCTTTTGTTCATCCCCTGTTGAGAGCCTTTATGCAGGAGAGAATATTCCATCCTTGTCTGATCACCGTGATGCTCATTGCCTTCGCTGTTATGTCTGATCTCGTGACCTCCACAATAATTTCATATGTAGGATGGTCACTGATGTTAGTAGACGTTCTTTATCTGTTCGTTGCCCCTGCTTACTCTGCCCCTTTTCTCTCCACCTCCATTCGCTCAGTTACCACCTTTCTATGCTCATGTAGCATCTCTTCCCTGCCCCCTTGTGAAGTTCCAGCTGTTCGAGTCTGTTCTTTCCCACTGCCATACGTGAAAGCCCAACTCTCTTGACCACTTCTGCACTCATTCTCATGCTATTGCAGTGTACACTGATGGTTCTAAGTCTTCTGATGGCGTCGAATTCGCAGCAGTGTTTCCGGACAGTGTTGTGCGAGAACATTTATTATCCTCGGCTAGCATTTTTACGGCTGAATTGTATGCTATTCTTGTAGCACTTATCTGTATAGCATCTAGGGCTGTGTCACCATTTGTGGTCGTTTCAGACTCCCTTAGTGCTTTATAGGCTATACGAAAATTTGATACACCTCGCCCCCTAGTTCTTCGTATCCAATTTTGGCTTCACCATATCTCTAGCAGATGCAAAGATGCTGTTTTTTGCTGGACCCCTGGTCATGTTGATGTACAGGGCAGTGAACAGGCAGACAATGCTGAGCGGTTAGCAGTTTATGACCTCCCAGTTTCATATAGGGGTGTTCCATTCATGGGCTATTTTGCTGAAATTGCTACCAACCTTTGCACCTTTTGGCAACAACGTTGGTCTGATCTGCTCCATAACAAACTTCATTCTATTAAACCGAGTATATAGGCTTCTGGCCATCTTCTTGTCATCAGTGTCGGGGTTGGGAAACTACTCTCTCCTGTCTTTGCATCGGTCACACTCGTCTTACTCACGGGTATCTCATGGAGAGGCGCCCTGTTCCTCTCTGTGAGAACTGTCACATTCCAGTATCTGTTAGCCACATTCTGTTGGACTGTCTACTGTATCAACGAACACGCAGAATTTACCTCCAATGTCATCTCTTTCTCTGCTGCCCTTTCTTTACCTTCCCTTCTTGCTGATGGACCCTCCTTTAATCCAGACTCTCTCATTGGCTTTTTGACAGCGACCGATTTACTACACAAACTCTGACGATGATGCCTCTAGCACTCTCCTCTGTTCTTTCTACTTTAATCTCTTGGTACCCTCTACCCCCTGCACTATCCACTGCCCCACTGCACTCCATACCCTAATAATCATCCCTCTCCCTCTTGCCACTCATTTCCCCTGCATCTTTCCCTGCCCTGCTGCATTGTTTAACCCTTGCAGTTTAGCACTTCTTTTGATTATAATAATAAATGGTACTATGTACTCTGATACATTTCCCTTTTTGCCTCCATGGATAATATTGTGTGTCTCCACAGATGCCTCAATGCACCACCAACCTTTTTTCCCCCTCATCACTTCTTTGGTTCACCTCATCTTTCATAGACTCTGAGCACTTTCACTTCCTTTATACTGCCTCCTTCCACGGCGATATCCAATCTTTCATTACCTTGCTCTTTCCTGTGTTCATTTTTAGTTTCCTTCTTTTATGTGTCCTCCCAAATTTGTCCACTAACCTTTGCAGCCTTTCTTCAGAATCTCCCAAAACCACTATGTCATCAGCAAAAAGCATCTGTGAGAAGTCCCACTTTGTATTAGTTTTTTTTTTTCTTTTAATCCCACACATTATACAACCCCATCTATAAATATATTAAACAACTGTGGTAACATCGTGCATCTTTGTCTAAAGCCTACTTTTAGGTGGAAAATAATCTTCCTCTCTCCTACATACCCTAACCTGAGCCTCACCATCTTTATAAAAACTATTAATTGTTTTAAGTAACCTACAACCTATTCCATACACTTGCAATTCTGCTATATTGATCCCTTATCTGCCCTATTGTATGTGTATTCTAACTCCATAGCTGTAGCAAAAATTTCCCTTCTTGTATGCAAATACAGCCTCCTCACTTAACGACGGAGTTTTGTTCCTAAAACCACGTTGGTAAACGAATTCATTGCTAAGTGAGGAGCATACTGTAATGGTAGTGGGGTTGTATCAACCATCTTTGATATTGTTTTAATGTCACCTTTGCACAATTTATAACATTTCTGGTATATTTTTAAATATTTATACAGCAGTGTACTGTATGTTGTAATAAACAGAATAGAGGTCAAGAGGAGCCCGTCATAAGTCCGTGTTGTTGGTAAACGAGTATGTCGCTAAGTGAGGAGAGGCTGTATTATTCACTTACATGCATCACTATCAACATTTGATCTTCACATATCCTACCCTTCCTAAATCCTCTTTGTTCATCTGTGATTCAGCTCTCTCTGCCTCTGTCTCTCTGGCTCTGTCTCTGTCTGTCTCTGTCTGTGTGTCTGTCTCTGTCTGTGTGTCTGTCTCTGTCTGTGTGTGTCTCTCTCTGTCTGTGTGTGTCTCTCTCTGTCTGTGTGTGTCTCTCTCTGTCTCTGTCTCTCTCTGTCTCTGTCTCTCTCTGTCTCTGTCTCTGTCTCTGTCTCTGTCTCTCTGTCTCTGTCTCTGTCTCTGTCTCTGTCTCTCCTGTCTCTCTGTCTCTCTCTCTGTCTCTCTCTCTCTCTCTCTGTCTTCTCTCTGTCTCTCTCTCTGTCTCTCTCTCTGTCTCTCTCTCTGTCTCTCTGTCTCTCTGTCTCTGTCTGTCTGTCTGTCTCTCTGTCTGTCTGTCTCTCTGTCTCTCTGTCTCTCTGTCTGTCTCTCTGTCTCTCTCTCTGTCTCTCTCTCTCTCTCTCTCTCTCTCTTCTCTCTCTCTCTCTCTCTCTCAATATTAACTTTACCATACACTTTAACTTGTATAATCAACAGGTTTATTTCTGTATATGTATTAGCTGTATGCAACTTGGATGATTTGCAAAATATATTGAAAATTCTTATTATGTGAAAATAAGTGTTTATTGCCTAATTGAATTTAATACAGTTCTCATGTGCCTTGAACACTTGTGCAACATACAATGATGCACATCACATACAGTATGAACTATGTTGGAAAGTCCTACAAGTTCATGTGCACACATGAGCCAGTAAGACATATAGCTCCTTGAGTTTCCTAACCTACCTGGAGACTATCTGGAGGGTATTCCGGGATCAATGCCCCCGTGGCCCGGTCCACAACCAGGCCTCCCTGTGGATTAGGGCCTGATCAACCAGGCTGTTACTTCTGGCCGCATGTAGTCCAATGTATGAGCCACAGCTTGGCTGATCCGGCACCGACCTGCACACAGTTAAAAAAAATGACTAAAGAGAGAGAGAGAGAGAGAGAGAGAGAGAGAGAGAGAAGAGAGAGAGAGAGAGAGAATTCAACCTAACTTCTTGCCGTTTATCAATTTTCAGGCTGGAAATATCTACCGAGTGAACAGATTTGCCAGGTTTCCTGGCCAGTGGAACATAGAAGACATTCCTGCCTCAACACTGATGCCCTGACACAGGTACAGTAGGAGGTATTTTCTGACAGTAGCTCTACATCAAAGTGAAAAGGTAATAGAGTGCCTAAAAACAGGTTTGGAGCAGCAGCCATTAGCCCTAGTTATGGTGGACCCACAATTTGATCAGCAAGGGGAACTGGTGGATCAGCTGGTATAAGATTTGGATCATGAAGAACAGCAGTTGGATCACTGGAACTAACAGATGAGTCAGAACACATGGCAATTGTACCCTACCATCAAGAACAGCAGTGATTCAGCCAGTACAGATGGGAATGTGGAATGTGAGGTGAAATAGATGCCTCAGACTTCAAGCTCATACAGGGCCAGCTGCAAAATGAACCAGTCATGACCAAAGACAGAACAGAAGCCAGAGGGACAAGGCTGAACAGTAGTTCAGCCTTGTCCCCCCCTCAAACGGGGGGCCCCATCCACACCCAAATCCTATTGCACCAGTATTCTTTCCATATCATAGCAGTGATGACTAGTGCATGAACTGGGGGCAGACTCACAAAATCGTAATGACACGATTGCAAACAATCCATACCATGGTTGGGGTTAGAACCCGCGATAAGAGAGTCTTAAAACTCCAGACCGTCGCATTAGCCACTGGGCTAGCTAGTGGTTAACACGACGGTCTGGAGTTTTGAGACTTTCTGATCGCAGGTTCTAACCGCACCCATGGTATGGCTTATGGGGGCAATGTAGCTGAAGTTTTACTATACAGTTTTTACTATGCAATTTGAGGGGCTCGCAGAGGCAAGTGGCTGCACACCTCAAGAGTCCAGGTTTCCCTTGCATAATGTGGATTCACTTTATGTGAATCAATTTCTGTCCTATTTATGTCTAATCCTGTTAGTGCAGAGTATGTACATGTGCTGTATTCAATTGGTATGGTTAGCAAATTGCATTGAAGATTTGTACATAAACTTTTAACATATCAATCATTTCCCAGTGTGGTAGGATGACCCCTTTCCCTACAAAGAAAAAAATTTAACACATTCACTTTCATTTTTTTCAAAAGCTGTCTCGTCATAAGTGTAAGTGTGACATTGCCACCCTTGGTTAAAAGAAGACCTTTATTAGTATGCATACGTGTCTGTTTTAACGAACTGTCGATTGTGTTATGCATCACCCATCCTCGCCTGTCTCTCAGAGTGCAGGCATTGTACTACCCACCTCTAGGACTCAAGTCTGGCTTACAGGTTTTCCCAGAATCCCTTCATAAATGTTACCTTGCTCACACCAACAGCAAATCAAGCCATAAAAGCTACTTGTTTCCTCTCCGCTCTAACGCGCGCACACACACAAGCCTGCTGGATCTTCAGGGTCCTAGCACTCAAAACCTTTATCCTCTCCCTCCAACCCATTTTGAGATAGCCCCAACCCTTCGTTCCTTCCACCCTGATTTATGCACCCTCTTGGTCATCCTGTGCTGTTTCATCCTCTTTAAATGCTCATGCCACCTCAACCCCCTCTGAATGGTACCTTTGATAACCTCACACCATCTTCTAATTTCTATGCTTAAATTTCTCTGCATAATATTCACACCATAATATTCACCCTAAAACATGACATCTCAACTGCCTCCAGCCTCCTCACTGCATTGTATAAAGCCTATGCCTTGCACCCGTTTAACAGTGTTGATACCACTATGCTCTGGTAATTTTCCTTTTTCTTCCATAGATAAAAAGCAAAGTGACGAGAGTAACAAAAAATCTAAGCTACAAAAGATTGGATTCCAGATTGGAAGAAGGGAGCATGGAGTAAGTAAATATATTCAGATATTTCGGAGTGGACTAGTAGGTAGATAGGCCTATAAAAGATGGGGTGAACCGTAGAATAGGCGAGGGAAGATAATTGCATGGTGTCTTGATCATCTGTGGAGACAAAGATTCTTATGTGGAATTAACCTTTACACTGTCGTGACTCCTGAAATTAAGTCCTGTCAGGGGTAGCAATTTAAAAAATATATATTTTATCTTCTAAAATGGTAGAGAATATTGTTTCTGAAGGTAATGATACCAAAAATAAAAAAATTATGGAACTTCAGTCATGGAGGTGGGAAGTGCAGTGCCTCCACTCTGAAGGAGGGATGGAGATATGCTTGTAGTTTTGAACTTTAGTATTTGCATGACTTTGGCAACACAGTGATGGAGTGAGTGATGATGTAAGTGTTTCTTCATTTTTGGGGTTCCCCCCCCCCCCCTGCCTAAGTGGGAAATGACCAGTGTGTTAAAAAAATAATAATAATATGTACTTTAAAATAATACAGTACCCTCAATATAAGGGTCTAATGGGGGAGGAGCAGGTGGCTGGTAATGGCAGTTATGGTGGATAGAGATGACCAGAAGCTAATCTTTTGTTGTTGATTGCATACTAGGAAAGAATATTTATCGACAGTAATAGAAGTAAACCCTCTTATGCTTGATGCATGTGTAGTGCTTGGTTTTGGAAGTGCTTGTTGTTTTACATATTGCTTCAGGTTTATTTCCTCCCCTTCCTTGGATCCAATCTGAATGCCTCCCATTTCCCAGACAGTACAGTAGTCCCCCTGTATCTGCAGGTGACACATTCCAAGACCTACTGCAAATGCCCAAAACCATGGATAGCAGCAAACCCTATATATGTCATTTTTCGTTAACATGTGTGCACATAGCCATGATAAAGTTTAATTGATAAATTATGCACAATAAGACATTATGATGTTGATGGTTGGGGATCATTGATAGTGGACATGGTTTGTTTTTCAACCTTTTGGAAAAACATCATGACAGGAAGTTGTTGTTTCTTTCTTTTGAGTTCATCAGACATTTGTTGGAGAGGTTTTAATGTTTAAGTGATTATACAGGTGACTTTAATGCTGCATTCCATCGTGATTTTTTCCTTTAAAGTCTATGCACTCCAAAACACTTTGCCAAATATTTCCAAAGTCCACATTGCTGGTTCTGTTTCAGTTTCTTCTACTGAATCTTCCTCTTCCTCTGTTGATGACTTGACAAGTTCTTCTAATTCCTCATTTATCATCACTTCTCAGTGTTCTTACTCAAACCAGCATGCAATTTGAAACTTAGTAAAATCATTTTAACTTGGCTAGCAGATAATGCTCCAAATGCTCTGTTGATTATGTGTAAATTCTTCTTTTATTACATTATAAATATTGACCAGCCATTTACTACATGCAGGATTGATTTTTTCCTTTGATCAGTATTATCCCTAATTCACCCGTTGTGACTTGCACACCAGATTAATCTCATCTCGAGATGTCTTTGACTAAACGCATCAATTTAAAGCATGATGAAATATTTTACTTCTCTTAATGACTAAAGTTGTGATTTGTGTTATTTTCATACATAAAATTGAAGCATTACTAATAGGGTATTTTTTTATATCAGTAAATGCTAAAATAGTGTAATACACTACATGTATTATGTATTTCGTAAGTATGTACCTTTGCAGATAACTCAATAAAGCATGATGAAGGAGTTTAAATATCTTTATACTAAGTAGGTTTATGTCATACAGTAAATGTTATAGAAAATGGGTATTATTATGTGAATGTAAAAATAGTAAAATACACTAAGTACTATTTATTATAATACTGTACAATTTTAAATAATTAATAAAATTAATAATAAAATTAATATAATTAATAATATATGTTATAAAGTAAATTTGTAACAATGACTAATGGTGAGACTCATATATTAAAAAAAAAAAAAAAAAAAAAAAAAAAAAAAATAAAATTATTTACTACAAGTACATGTACAAGGTATACAGTCCTAGCTGACAACAATGACATACTACTATATAGAAAGTCCCTTGTTATGCTCCGCATTTCGGGCAAATTAGGTCAGTGTCCCAGGATGCGACCCGCACCAGTCGACTAACACCCAGGTTCCCATTTTGCTGATGGGGAACATAGACAACAGGTGGAAAAAAACACGTCCAATGTTTCTACTCTGGCTGGGAATCGAACCCAGGCCCTCGCCGTGTGAAGCGAGAGCGTTAACCACCAGGCCACCAGAGCCCATATGGTCCCATATTGTCATCACATGGGTGGTGCATACAGTAAGACCCCGTATCCGCGTGGGATACATTCCAAGGACCTGCCGTGGATACCGAAATTGTGGATAGTAGTAAACCCTATATATAAGTCCTATACATACCTATTATAAAGTTTATTTGATAAATTGTGCACAGTAAGTGGAGAATTATCACTTTTTCACTGATGGGATGCACTTCATGGCTTCTGTTAGGTTTTGAAGAATTTCCAGCTTCTTTACTTTTGTGCTTTGGAGCTATTATTATGCAAAATTAAGAGGTATTTTTGGGCCACAGTAAACCGTGGATAACTGAAACCGTGAATACCAAATCAGTGGATATTGGGGTTCTACTGTATTACCGTATCTTTTTTTTTAACACATCAGCCATTTCCCACTGAGGGTGACCTGCTGTAAACACTTGGCCTACCCATCCTAATGAATCCTTGAAGTATCTGGAAACTATTCTTATATTTTCCAGTATCACATTCTGCTGATGTTATCCTGTTTACGTAGGCCTTTGATGATAGGTTTGGTGTTATTGCCTAAACCATTAACTTTTATAAAAGTTAAATGGCATGCTCTACTTATTATTTTAATGATTTTCAGGGTCCCCAGTATCAAAGAAGAGCTCTCCATTAATGGATAGCATGAATGATGAAGTGCCAGCCAATGTTGCTGATTCACAAGTTTATAAATCTCGACGACTCCGAAATCAACCAACCGTATGTTCACTTATGTTGTCTGACGTAGTAAATTTTACTTAAATTAATTGCAATGTTTTCTTATATCTTAACTACAGCATTGTCCAGTATAATTTGTTACTCTTGATGAATCTTAACATACTGTACCACATTGAGATGATATATAGACAATAATTTATGGATGGTAAATAATAATGGTAAATAATAAAAAAAATATCAAACCTGTATTAAAACTGTTCTGCTCATTGGGAGCTTTATTAAGACGAAGTGCTTACAACGCAAGACGTTGTTTTACTAAAGGCTTACTCTTTCTATGTATTATTTTTCCTATGTTGACTTGCTGCATATTCATAAATTTATGGATGGTGACTTATACAGTACTAAATTAAACAAGAAACACTAATTCTGAGAGGCATAAGCTTTATTTTTCCAAATACTAGTCAAGCAAATGAACTGAGAAAAGAACAGTGTAAAATGTGTCACCATATCCTTAAATTTATCTCATGTTGCTTAGGCATTTTTGCTTTCTAGATCCTCATTACCTTGCAGAATAATGACCATAGCAGTTGCATAAATAATGATGAGCAAAGTTTTCACACGCCTATTAAAAGGCAGCAGCCACGAGAGTTTGAACACCAACAGCAACATTCACCTGACGTACCATTCATGAGTAGTCAGCTGTGTGGGACACAAGAATGTGAAGTTGTGTGGGACTGTAATTCTCCTGGCTTCTCTAAAGATGACCTCAAACGTAGTAAGTGCCTTTATTTTCATAATTCATATGTATCTTTTTAGTGATTCAGTATTCTGTACAAGAATTTTATAGTTGGAGTCGAAATTAAAACAAGAATAAAATAATGTTTAGCAAAAAAAAAAAGTTTTTGTTGTGTATTGTATAATATAAAAAGCTAATTTAGGCTTCATTATACAGGAGGGCGCCGCTTTACAGCGCTTCTCTTTGGGGTATTTCGCTAATTCAGCAGTTTTCAATTATACCCATCCTTCATATATTCAGTCTTCCTACAATAAATATATTCACCACTCACTGCAAGCTAAGGATGAAAATATTTTAAGATATGTATTAAGCCAAGCGTGTCGTATGAGGCGACTAAAATGCCGGGAGCAATGGGCTGGTAACCCCTTCTCCTGTAGACATTTACTAAAAAAGAGAAGAAGAAAAACTTTATAAAACTGGGATGCTTAAATGTGCGTGGATGTAGTGCGGATGACAAGAAACAGATGATTGCTGATGTTATGAATGAAAAGAAGTTGGATGTCCTGGCCCTAAGCGAAACAAAGCTGAAGGGGGTAGGGGAGTTTCGGTGGGGGGAAATAAATGGGATTAAATCTGGAGTATCTGAGAGAGTTAGAGCAAAGGAAGGGGTAGCAGTAATGTTGAATGATCAGTTATGGAAGGAGAAACGAGAATATGAATGTGTAAATTCAAGAATTATGTGGATTAAAGTAAAGGTTGGATGCGGAGAAGTGGGTCATAATAAGCGTGTATGCACCTGGAGAAGAGAGGAATGCAGAGGAGAGAGAGAGATTTTGGGAGATGTTAAGTGAATGTATAGGAGCCTTTGAACCAAGTGAGAGAGTAATTTGTGGTAGGGGACCTGAATGCTGAAGTAGGAGAAACTTTTAGAGAGGGTGTGGTAGGTAAGTTTTGGGGTGCCAGGTGTAAATGATAATGGGAGCCCTTTGATTGAACTTTGTATAGAAAGGGGTTTAGTTATAGGTAATACATATTTTAAGAAAAAGAGGAAAATAAGTATACAAGATATGATGTAGGGCGAAATGACAGTAGTTTGTTGGATTATGTATTGGTAGATAAAAGACTGTTAAGTAGACTTCAGGATGTACATGTTTATAGAGGGGCCACAGATATATCAGATCACTTTTCTAGTTGTAGCTACACTGAGAGTAAAAGGTAGATGGGATACAAGGAGAATAGAAGCGTCAGGGAAGAGAGAGGTGAAGGTTTATAAACTAAAAGAGGAGGCAGTTAGGGTAAGATATAAACAGCTATTGGAGGATAGATGGGCTAATGAGAGCATAGGCAATGGGGTCGAAGAGGTATGGGGTAGGTTTAAAAATGTAGTGTTAGAGTGTTCAGCAGAAGTTTGTGGTTACAGGAAAGTGGGTGCGGGAGGGAAGAGGAGCGATTGGTGGAATGATGATGTGAAGAGAGTAGTAAGGGAGAAAAAGTTAGCATATGAGAAGTTTTTACAAAGTAGAAGTGATGCAAGGAGGGAAGAGTATATGGAGAAAAAGAGAGAGGTTAAGAGAGTGGTGAAGCAATGTATAAAGACAGCAAATGAGAGAGTGGGTGAGATGTTATCAACAAATTTTGTTGAAAATAAGAAAAAGTTTTGGAGTGAGATTAACAAGTTAAGAAAGCCTAGAGAACAAATGGATTTGTCAGTTAAAAATAGGAGAGGAGAGTTATTAAATGGAGAGTTAGAGGTATTGGGAAGATGGAGGGAATATTTTGAGGAATTGTTAAATGTTGATGAAGATAGGGAAGCTGTGATTTCGTGTATAGGGCAAGGAGGAACTACATCTTGTAGGAGTGAGGAAGAGCCAGTTGTGAGTGTGGGGGAAATTCGTGAGGCAGTAGGTAAAATGAAAGGGGGTAAGAACAGCCGGGATTGATGGGATAAAGATAGAAATGTTAAAAGCAGGTGGGGATATAGTTTTGGATGGTTGGTGCAATTATTTAATAAATGTATGGAAGAGGGTAAGGTACCTAGGGATTGGCAGAGAGCATGCATAGTTCCTTTGTATAAAGGCAAAGGGGATAAAAGAGAGTGCAAAAAATTATAGGGGGATAAGTCTGTTGAGTATACCTGGCAAAGTGTATGGTAGAGTTATTATTGAAAGAATTAAGAGTAAGACGGAGAATAGGATAGCAGATGAACAAGGAGGCTTTAGGAAAGGTAGGGAGGTGTGTGGACCAGGTGTTTACAGTGAAACATATAAGTGAACAGTATTTAGATAAGGCTAAAGAGGTCTTTGTGGCATTTATGGATTTGGAAAAGGCGTATGACAGGGTGGATAGGGGGGCAATGTGGCAGATGTTGCAGGTGTATGGTGTAGGAGGTAGGTTACTGAAAGCAGTGAAGAGTTTTTACAAGGATAGTGAGGCTCAAGTTAGAGTATGTAGGAAAGAGGGAAATTTTTTCCCCAGTAAAAGTAAGCCTTAGACAAGGATGTGTGATGTCACCGTGGTTGTTTAATATATTTATAGATGGGGTTGTAAGAGAAGTAAATGCGAGGGTCTTGGCAAGAGGCGTGGAGTTAAAAGATAAAGAATCACACAAAAAAGTGGGAGTTGTCACAGTTGCTCTTTGCTGATGACACTGTGCTCTTGGGAGATTCTGAAGAGAAGTTGCAGAGATTGGTGGATGAATTTGGTAGGGTGTGCAAAAGAAGAAAATTGAAAGTGAATACAGGAAAGAGTAAGGTTATGAGGATAACAAAAAAATTAGGTGATGAAAGATTGGATATCAGATTGGAGGGAGAGAGTATGGAGGAGGTGAATGTATTCAGATATTTGGGAGTGGACGTGTCAGCGGATGGGTCTATGAAAGATGAGGTGAATCATAGAATTGATGAGGGAAAAAGGGTGAGTGGTGCACTTAGGAGTCTGTGGAGACAAAGAACTTTGTCCTTGGAGGCAAAGAGGGGAATGTATGAGAGTATAGTTTTACCAACGCTCTTATATGGGTGTGAAGCATGGGTGATGAATGTTGCAGCGAGGAGAAGGCTGGAGGCAGTGGAGATGTCATGTCTGAGAGCAATGTGTGGTGTGAATATAATGCAGAGAATTCGTAGTTTGGAAGTTAGGAGGAGGTGCGGGATTACCAAAACTGTTGTCCAGAGGGCTGAGGAAGGGTTGTTGAGGTGGTTCGGACATGTAGAGAGAATGGAGTGAAACAGAATAACTTCAAGAGTGTATCAGTCTGTAGTGGAAGGAAGGCGGGGTAGGGGTCGGCCTAGGAAAGGTTGGAGGGAGGGGGTAAAGGAGGTTTTGTATGAGGGGCTTGGACTTCCAGCAGGCATGCGTGAGTGTGTTTGGTAGGAGTGAATGGAGACAAATGGTTTTTAATACTTGACGTGCTGTTGGAGTGTGAGCAAAGTAACATTTATGAAGGGGTTCAGGGAAACCGGCAGGCCGGTCTTGAGTCCTGGAGATGGGAAGTACAGTGCCTGCACTCTGAAGGAGGGGTGTTAATGTTGCAGTTTAAAAACTGTAGTGTAAAGTACCCATCTGGCAAGACAGTGATGGAGTGAATGATGGTGAAAGTTTTTGTTTTTCAGGCCACCCTGCCTTGGTGGGAATCGGCCAGTGTGATAATAAAAAAAAAGTAGTATTGAGTGGGGAGAAATAAATGGGATAAGGTCAGGGTTTTCAAATAGAGTTAGAGCTAAAGAAGGAGTAGCAATAATGTTGAAGGATAAGTTATGGCAGGAAAAGAGGGAATACAGTAGGGCCCCAGTTATACAGCAGGTTAGGTTCCAGGCTGCCGCCGTAAAGCGGAAATCGCCGTAAAGTGCAACGCCTTTTTTCCACTTATAAATGCATATAAATACTATATAACAAGTTTACACTAACATATATTAAGTTAGCAGTAGAATTTTTTTTTTATTAGCACACTGGCTGATTCCCACCAAGGCAGGGCGGCCCGAAAAAGAAAAACTTCAACCATCATTCACTCCATCACTGTCTTGCCAGAAGGGTGCTTTACACTACAGTTTTTAAACTGCAACATTAATACCCCTCCTTCAGAGTGCAGGCACTGTACTTCCCATCTGCAGGACTCAAGTCTGGCCTGGCGGTTTCCCTGAATCCCTTCATAAATGTTACTTTGCTCACACTCCAACAGCACTTCAAGTATTAAAAACCATTTGTCTCCACTCCTATCAAACACGCTCACTCATGCCCGCTGGAAGTCCAAGCCCCTCGCACACAAAACCTCCTTTACTCCCTCCCTCCAACCTTTCCTAGACCGACCCCTACCCCACCTTCCTTCCACTACAGACTGATACACTCTTGAAGTCATTCTGTTTTGCTCCATTCTCTCTGCATGTCCGAACCACCTCAACAACCCTTCGTCAGCCCTCTGGACAACAGTTTTGGCAATCCCGCACCTCCTCCTAACTTCCAAACTACGAATTCTCTGCATTATATTCACACCACACATTGCCCTCAGTCATGACATCTCCACTGCCTCCAGCCTTCTCCTCGCTTCAACATTTATCACCCATGCTTCACACCCATATAAGAGCATTGGTAAAACTATACTCTCATACATTCCCCTCGTTGCCTCCAAGGACAAAGTTTTTTGTCTCCACAGACTCCTAAGTGCACCGCTCACCCTTTTCCCCTCATCAATTCTATGATTCACCTCATCTTTCATAGACCCATCCGCTGACACGTCCACTTCCAAATATCTGAATACATTCACCTCCTCCATACTCTCTCCCTCCAATCTGATACCCAATCTTTCATCACCTAATCTTTTTGTTATCCTCATAACTTTACTCTTTCCTGTATTCACTTTTAATTTTCTTCTTTTACATACCCTACCAAATTCATCCGCCCACCTCTGCAACTCTCTTCAGATCTCCCAACAGCACAGTGTCATCAGCAAAGAGCAACTGTGACAACTCCCACTTTATGTGTGATTCTTTATCTTTTAACTCCATGCCTCTTGCCAAGACCCTCGCATTTACTTCTCTTACAACCCC